GTGAGCGCGGGTGGGCGGCAGAGCCCAGCACCAGCAAACGGCTCCAGCTGTGGCCCGGCTCGTCAGGGCTGTGGGGTGGCTGCGGGGAGCCCGTGGCACTGCGGTGCATCCCCTTGGCCCCATCCAGGCAGCATGGCCAGATCCTGGTGGTTGACGGTGGGAACGCGCTGCTCGGAGCTGACGGTTGGGAACGTGCTGGGGAGCGGAGTGTGGGCTCGTCCTGGCGTTCATGGACGCTGCAGCTGTGCGTGTCTCCAACCAGTACTACAGGGGCTTTAAATAATTAATTGCTTGCTGATGAAATTTCATGTTCAGAGCGGTTGTTGGGATGGAGGCAGGCAGCGGACTTGTGTTCTGAGAGATGGGAGCAACTGCTGTTACCGCCATTTTGCCTATGGAACAGAGAACCTGCACTTCTCTAATCAAAGTAATGACCATCGATTTATCACTCGAACATTACTTAATAAGCCTCAACATCTGGCCTGACATTCGAAATAACGTTAGAAAGGCATTAGCCTGGTCGTGGGGCTGCTGATACCGCTGGGGACAGGGCTGCTGCGGGGCCGGGCGGGAGCCGTTGGAGGCAGGCTGTGCCCCAGGGTGGTGGTGCTGAGGGGGGTGTACCTCTGCCGCCCGGGGCTTTGCACCGCAACGTCCTGCGCCGCTTTGGAAATGTGTGCTCTTTGCTTTTCTGTGCCTGAGGGTTACGAGCGCACACGGGTCTGGCCTGGGGGGGGGTCCCGTGTTCCCTGCAGCCGCTCACCGGGGAGCCGCCGCCGCTGGGAAGGACTGGGGCGGTGCGGGGCTGCAGGCAGACGGGGCTGTAGCATCGTTTTGCTGCTTCCACTGAGGAACGCGTCAGTGGTGGCGTTGGACGCGCGGCTCCGAGCAGCGCTGCTGAGCCAGCCGCTCTCCGCGTCCTGCAGCTCCCTCTCCACCATCCTGCGCTAATAAATATTTCAGTCTTTCTCGCTGTTATTTTTAGGTACGTGAGAGAAGGGCGGTTTCGGATCGAGGAGAGGACGCTGACGGCTTTCCAGTGGCTGTACTCGCCCCACCAGCACCGCATCGTCAGCCGGGCGGACCTGGGCTCGCCCAGCAGGTAAGGGGGGGCAGTGGGTGCAGGGCCCCAGGGGCACGTCCCCTGCCAGTGCCACCAGCAGCCTGCCATGCTGGTGGGACCTGTCTGATCCTCTTGTCAGGAGCCCTCGTGGTTTTGACGTGGGTCTCCTGCGCCTCAGCCTGTCTCTGGGGCCCGGTGACTATCCGAGCATCTGGGGTTTCGCTTTAAAGTAAAGCTCCAGCTGCAGCTGGGAGCTGCAGACATCATGTGAACACCCCTCTGGTTTAGAGCAAATTACTGACTGCCTCCCAAATTTTTATTTGTAACCCCCCATGCTCTTGGTCAAGCACACAACCTTTTGAGGACCTGCTTTATGCATGCAGCACACTTGGGATTTGCTTAAAAAATGGATTGGGAGCCAGGGGCAGCATATCTCCCAACCGTAACTGATCCCTGGAAAATATTGGTTCCGATGCCCCAATTTTGTTTGGTGCTAAACCCTCTCCTTCACAGCTCCCTGAGAACGCGTCTCGGAGCCACGTCCTGGGCATGTGCCGTGGCTCTCCCTGCTGAGACATATGCATCGCTGTCGGTTGGCATCCCAGTGTTTGGTGATAAAACGCCATTAACATAAAAGCCTTGTGGGCCTCAAGACACATATCGCGCAGCGTCTGCTCTCCTGCCTGTTGAGAGCACTGAAACACCCCCGGCCCCCGGGTGGCTGCACGGCTAAAAGCTTTTCCCTCTTTATTTCAGCAGCAGTTTTGCTCTGAGAGCCCTTAAAGCCCTGAAGTGTTTATCTCCCCCGAATCGCAGGTCCCAGAGTGACGGCGGGAGGGGGTGCCCGGGCTGAGCCCCTCCCCAGCACGGGGAAGGGCTGCGGGTGCTCTCGGAGGCTCCCCGCAGGGCGAGGGGTCCCTGGGGAGGGATGGTGCTGTGGAGCCCCCGGGCTGGATGGGGAGCAGGAGAGAGGTGCCCCCTTCCCTGGGTGGGAGCCGTGGCGTGTGCATGTGCCACAGCCGGGCGATTCCTCCGCCTGCTGCCAGAGGGGCTTTCCAAAACCAGAAATTACCGTGCTGGTTATTGATTTCAACTAATTTTTGCAAATTGCTGTCTAAGGCTGCATTAATCTCACCCCTGATGCACATATATCACACGGCACATGGAACTTAAATACGTGTAATATCATTTATAATTAATGTTAAGTGCCATTGGGGTTAATTCCACTGGATCAATTTGATTTCCCAGTGGGCTGGGAAGTTACCTGGAGAAGTCCGGTAGCGTGTGTGGGCCATCAGTGGCAGGTTATGAACGGTGCCTGCATCCCTCTTACGGGGGTAAACTCTTTACCCAGGTGGCGGCTGGGGCTGGTGCCCCGGTGCAAACTGCCGCCGAGTCCCGGGTTTGCCCGGCTCTCACCCTACAAACAGAGGGGAGAGCGGCGGCTGGGGCAGCGCGCGGGGCGCAAAGCTGCTGTGGGCTGTGCCGTTGGCTTCAGCAGCTGCTCCGTGGGATGCGGGTGAGGACGAAGCTGCGTCGGAGATGTGTTAACCATCTTTAAGCCCCTGGTTTGTTACTGGCATCGGTGAGGAGCCCTGCACTGGCCTGGCCTGGCGTGTCCCCGCTGGCGGGCGAGGGACAGGGCGCAGCGAGCGGGCGGCTCTGCCCACCACCCAGCACCGACGCTCGTCTCGGCTGTGGCACATGGCTGCAGAGGCTTCGGCTGGGCACCACGTTAGTGCCTGGGGTGGTGCACTGACACTGGGATGCTCTGTGGCATTTCAGGCTGTCACATTATTTATCCGTCACATTAATCGGGTCGGTGTCTCTATTTCGCACTTGCTGCTTTTTCTTTGCATAATAGTCGTGACACAGCTGAGCAAGAGGACGGCTGATCTGCTGGAGGGGTTAACGTAACAGGTGCGGTTTATTTTTGTTATTTGTACACATTAATGTACTCATCGGTCCCACTTGAGCAGCACTTTGTAGAAGGACGAGAGCATGGGTGCTGTTCCCTTCAGCTCTCCACGCAGCTGGGCTGGTTTTGTGCTGGTGGCAGGAACGCAGCACCGTCGGGAGGCAGCAGGCGCGCTGCGCCGGCAGAGCTGCTTTGCCTGGGATGGGGCTCTCCTTCGGCGCGGGAGGGCTTTCGGCAGCCGAGCCCAGCTGGCGCTGCCGGGGAGCAGCGTGGGGCACAGCGGGCTGCCCAGCTCAGCCCTGAGCGCCTTTGGGACCTGAAATTGCCTACTTTGATGTTTAGTGCTGTTAAACAGCCTTCGGGGCTGCCAAAAAAAGGGAATTGCATTGGTTTCACTGCGTCTCTTCAGGAACCAGTGGGACCAAAGCGATGCAGCTTGTGACAGCGGGGCTGGGCTCCGTGCTGTGGGCTCATCCTTCGGGCTCTGCTGGGCGCTGGCAGCGTGGGGCTGGGGTGGATACCCGGGAGCTGGAAAGGGTGGGCCTGATGGTGGGAATAGGAATTCTGGCTTTCCTTTCAGCGGGTTCAGATTTTGGCTCTGGAAGCTCTTCTTTTGTCTGGTCCACTCTGTGTCTGGCTTTAATTCAGTTCAGTTGTAACAGATGAAGGGGCTCACACATAAGACTAAAGTCTGCTTTCAAAGCTGAATCCAAGGGGGTTACTCCATTTTCTAGTGATTTTTTCACAAAAAATCCCGGGCTGCATCCCCAGCAGCGTGGCCAGCAGGGCGAGGGGGGATTGTGCCCCTCTGCTGCGCTCTGCTCTGGGGAGACCCCCCTGCAGTGCTGCCTCCAGCTCGGGGGGTCCCACCAGCAGAATCATAGAATGGTTTAGGTTGGAAAGGACCTTAAAGATCGTCGAGTTTCACCCTCCCTGCCATGGGCAGGGACACCTCTGACTAGACCAGGTCGCCCAAGGCTTGTCCAGAAGGACACGGAGCTGTTGGAGCGGGGCCAGAGGAGGCCCCGGAGGTGCTGGGAGGGCTGGAGCCCCTCTGCTGGGAGGACAGGCTGGGAGAGTTGGGGGGGCTCAGCCTGGAGAAGAGAAGGCCAAAAAGGGG